GAAACAAAAATGAAATAATACTTCCTTGTCTTTTGGTGGGGAAAAAGAAAAGAAAAGAAAAGAAAAGAAAAAAGAAAAGAAAAGAAAAAGAAAGAAAAAAAAGAAAGAAAAGAAAAGAAAGAAAAGAAAAGAAAAAAAGAAAGAAAAGAAAAGAAAAGAAAAGAAAAAAGAAAAGAAAAAAGAAAAAGAAAAGAAAGAAAAGAAAAGAATAGAAAAGAAAGAAAAGAAAAGAAAGAAAAGAAAAGAAAGAAAGAAAAGAAAGAAAAGAAAAGAAAGAAAAGAAAAGAAAAGAAAAGAAAGAAAAGAAAAGAAAAGAAAAGAAAGAAAAGAAAAGAAAGAAAAGAAAAGAAAGAAAAGAAAAGAAAGAAAAGAAAAGAAAGAAAAGAAAAGAAAGAAAAGAAAAGAAAAGAAAGAAAAGAAAAGAAAGAAAAGAAAAGAAAACTCTCTGGTCTTTCAGGCAAGAAACAATATAAATATTTTTAAAAATGTTAATGATGGTCCCTATTTTTGTAAGATATTAAAAAGTACAATGGTAGTACTTTTTTTTTTCTTTTAATCAATTCACCCTAAGCAAGGTAATAAAGCCACTAAGATGCAAGGGTCTACTGGTAGTAAAAGAGAATGGGAAGACTTTAGAAGGAACCGAAAACAAGGGTTAAACCTCTACTCCTATGCAAAAAACTTGGGGAGGAGGGTGTACCGGGCAATAGGCAAATCTATCTACTCCTATTTATATAAGAAATTGAACCCTGATCTGCTAGAGTTTCCAGGTGGCAGGGAGAGTAATAAAAAAGGAATCACCTGTTCAAAAATGGACAGGTGAGTGATAAGCAATTTCATCTGAAGCAAGAGAAATTCAGTCTTTCAAGTTTTGTAAGGGCCCTATGCCAGACTAAGCTTAGTAAATATCTATTAGAAAACATCTGGTAACAAAAAAAATATTACCAATACTGTAGAGTAACTTTAACACTGCATAAAATATTTTCCCTCAAAATTTAGCAAGTGGTAAGTCAAATGGTAAGCAGTAACAATTAGCAAGACTTGACCAAAAACTTGTTGAAACAGTGCATATGGAATGGAACTCAACAGAGAAATGCAGGGAAATGCAAAGAAATGATAAATAGCGCCAGTGTCACCATAGACAGCAAACCACTGGAGGAAGTGTCCAGATTCAAATACTTTTTTTTTTTTTTTTAAGCATTCAACCCCAAGCAAGGTGGGAAGCCACTAGCACGGAAGGGGTTACAGAAAGTTGGAGCGAGAACAAAGAGGAGTGATAGAGGAAAGGATGAAGAGATGGTTAGGGGATAGATCAGGGCATCTGAAGACGTCGATTGATGGTACATTTGAATAGTTGGAGATTATAGCTATTGGGGAAACAAGAAATGGGGAGGGAGTTCCACAGGTGAGAAGTGCGAGACACGAAGCTATTGGAGTAGAAGAGACGGCTACATTTAACAGTTTCGACAGTAAAAGGGTGAGAGCGAGATGCCAGCCTAGATGAGCACTTAAATTCATGAAGTCTGGGAACCAGCAAAAGCAGCTCATCGGAGCAGTTACTGTGAAAGTATTTGTAAAAAAGACAGAGGGAGGCAATGGCACATCTGTGAGAGAGCAGCTGCAGAGGAGATGCCAGATCAGGGCCAATTACATTGTATATCTGTCTTTGGATTTTTATCAAGGACCTTGAGACAATTAGAAGGGGCTCCAGACCATATATGGCAGCAATACTCCATGCATGGGCGAATGGTTGATTTGTAGATTTGAAGGATCTCGGGAGCAACCCCGTCAAAAGATGGCACCTGAAATGCAGAAATGTAGATAGATCTCTACAGCCACAGTAGCGACGACCAGACTAGAAAAGACGTGGAAGAGCAACATCAGCTTCCATGCCAAGTTCAAGCTAGACTCCATTCTCCTCTACAGGTGTGAGACTGGAACACTCTTGGACAAGACAGGAAAAAGGATTCAGGCGTTCGAGAACAAATGCCCAAGAAAGCACCTCGGCATCTCCTACTGGCAACACAAGGTTGAGACTCTCACAGGTTGACAAGAATCTCTCCATGTATTGGAAGATGGCATCGTTTGGCCACATCACATGGCATAACAGTCTCTGCAAGACCATCATGCAAGGCACTCTCGAAGGTAGATGCAGGTAGGGATGGCAACACGAGAGCTGGTCAGACATCAAAGAGTGGACTGACTCATTCATTCCTTTTTTGCAGTTTATCAACCCTTTGCAGGTTATTTAAAGTCAGAAAATATTTTATGAGTTTTTTCCTCAGAGATAATTATTTAGTGATACAAGTTTTACTAATTAACCCATAGCTAGGGGGAGAAAAGGTGGAGTCATACCTACCCCCAGGTGTATTTGCACTTAAGTGAATATATAACAAACCCAACTGGAATTGAAACTTGGCTCTCCGATTAACAATTCCGAGCCATTATCCATTACACCCCATGCACATCCAAGCTTACAGCACTTGTTATTCTCAAGCAGTCACCCATCTAGGTACTGACCAGGCTCAATGTTGCTTAACTTATTCATCACACCCCAGCTTACAGCATTGGTTATTCCCAAGCTGGTCACTTATCTAGGTACTGACCAAGCCTGACATTGCTTAACTTAAGTGGTCATTCAGGAATGGATGTTTCAACATGATGTGGCTGTAAGCCTCAAAGAGTGGACAGACGTGACAAATGCAGAACTCCTGAGAGCCATCGCAAACAGATCAGCCTGGCGGAGATTGTTTCTTCTGTACTCGGGTCTTCCTAACAATTGAAGCAGCCGAGGGACCGAGGAAGTCAAATTTTCATGACTAATAAAGTAGCTTTCTGAATACTGTTAAGCAATGACAAAGAATTTATGGTTTTAATCATATTTGTGTAAATTATTAGCACAGAACCGTAAAGCAAAAACTCTGTAATAACTGTTAGAAACGTGTCTATATTTCTGAGATGAGGTATTATGTACATTATTCGGACTATTGTCCTCATCTTTGTCGCCATATCACAACGTTTCGGCCATTCTACGCTCCGGCCTTCTTCAGGTGGTTGGAATTTTGAACTGAACACTTTATTTTGCTCACTGGGGTAGACTGTTCTAGTTCCACGTGCCATGTTTGATGGAGGTCAGTTATCAGTTATCTCCTGCCAATTTCCCTCTGAAAGTTCTCCACTGCCTTAACTGGGTATTGAACTCACACTCTTTGGGTCCTCTCACTGGATCTAACTAACGCCTTTATCCACTGTGCCATGTGTCCTTGAGAACGGTCTACCCCAGTGAGCGAAATAAAGGGTTCAGTTCGAAATTCCAACCACCTGAAGAAGGTCTGAGCGTACAACGGCCGAAACGTTGTGATAGATATGGCGACAAAGATTAGGACAATAGTCCAAACAATGTAAATAATGTGTTAGAAACGTAAGCAAAACCGTTGTTTGGAATGTGAAAAAAAAAAAAAAAAAAAAAAGGACAAAAGAAACAGTTCGAGGAGGAGTTGGATTGATCCCAAACCGTTTTAAAAGATCATAAGGAAAAGAAAATGAAACCCCTTTTTTTTTTTTTAACATATTTGAATTTTTGAAAATTAAAAAAAATTCATTTAATATTTGCTTTTTATTTTTTTAAAAATAAAAGGTTCTGCTTATTTTTCCTTTTGTCCCCTCCTGCCCCACTAATTTATCCTTAAAATCATGTAATGCCCTTGGGAAAGGCATGAAATGATGACACTGGCACTGAAAATAAAAAAATGTTTATTAAAAATATTCATCCATATAAATAAATGTGAACATCAGTGTGTCACACTTTTTTGACTTTACTCTGAGGGGATGTTACCAAACATATCATACCAATTTGGAATCAGGCTGAGTCCACAAGAAATTTAGAAACATTCAGGGCCAGATCCAGACCTGAAATTTGGGATTCACCATTTTTCATTATTATGATTGTTTTGGGCAATTTTTTTTTTATGTGATTTTTTTGTGACAATTTTTTTTTCTATGATAACAATTTTTATTTTATAACTTGGAAATAAATTTGAAATTAGTTGTGAAAGACAGCCATGCAATAAAAATAATTGTTTGTATTGAAAGTAAGGACCTACATGCATCAAATTGTCTTTAAGTAACAGCAGAAGAATTATAAACTTTTAAAATGTAACTGTCTATATTTCTGAGATGAAGTGTTATATACACTATTTACATTATTCAGACTATTGTCCTAATCTTTGTCACCATATTTATTACATTTCAGCCGTTGCACGCTCCGGCCTTTTTCTTCCTCAAGGACACAGTGGATAAAGGCATTAGTTAGATCCAGTGACAGGACCCAAAGAGTGCGAGTTCAATACCTGGTTAAGGCAGTGGAGAACTTGGAGAGGGGAATTAACAGGAGATAAATGATAACTGACATCCATTAGACATGGCACGTGGAACTAGAAAAGTTTACACCAGTGAGCGAAAGAAAGCGTTCAGTTCGACATTCCAACCATCTGAAGAAGGCTGGAGTGTACAACGGCCGAAACTTTGTAACAAATATGATGACAAAGATGAGGACAATAGTCCAAATAATGTAAATAGAGTTTTAAAAGGTAAGCTTAAATATTAGTGCAATACTTAAATGCTGCAATCAATCTCGAGTTTTGTTGCTAATTTCAATTACTCCTCCCTGACTATTGTGGTGGAGGTCCAATCAAGAGCCCTCTGCAGGGGATAGCTTAAATGCCACCAAATAGGGTACCTTTTAAGCATATATGTTTGATTCATTTTCTAGTTTATCAATCCTTTACAGATTATTTAAACCCAGAAATGTTTTTTTTTTTTTAGATGATTTTTATTGATACCAGTCTTACTAATTAACCCATGGCTGGGGGGAGAAGAGGTGGATTCATACCTTACCCAAGGGTACTTGTGTGTAAGTGATTCTAATGAATTCAATGGGTATTGGAACTTGGCTCTCTGATTACAGATGGTGTAATGGCTCTGAATTGTTAAACTCAAACTTACAGCACCTGGTATTACCAAGTAGTCACCCATCTAGGTACTAAACAGGCCTGATGTTGCTTAACTTCAGTGATCGTGGTGGAAACCTGTGTTTCAACATGTTGTTTAGTGTATATTTTTTGTTTTATTCATTCTTTAACTCCTTGCATGTTCGTGACTATACTCTTGCTTAGGGTGAAAAGACTTAAAAAAAAAAAATTTCAAGTGTCATTTAGAGCAGGGGTCAGCAACCTTTTGCTATATCCTGACTTAGGGTTTTAAAATCATTTAGTGTGCCAACAGCATACATATTTTTATACAAGTCATGGTCAATATACCTGTTCAACAATATATTATATATATATATATATATATATATATATATATATATATATATATATATATATATACACACACTTTAGCATATATTAAAATTGAAATGGTTAAATATCTTCTGTATTGTAGTAGTTATTGGTTCAAACTTCAATATATTGCCTTCTAGCTCAGTGATCGGCTACCTATGTGCTGACTTAGGGCTTTAAAATCATTCAGTGTACCAACAGTATACGTATTTTTTATACAAGTCAAGGTCACTATACCTGTTCTGCAATATATACAAGAATATGTAAACCACACTAAAAGAAAAACTGTTTTTAAAGGTTTTTTTAAAAAGATTTCAACAAATGAGCAATTTTGAAACAGCTAAATTTTAAAATACAACAATAAATCTCACCTTCCAATTTTGCTTTTTCCCTTACAATAGATAACGTAGGATACAAATGTGGTGTAGGGCAGGGATCGGAAACCTTTTGTTATGTGCCGACTTGTTGTTATAAAATCATTCAGTGTGCCAACAACATACGTAATTTTATACAAGTCAAGGTCAATATACCTGTTCTATAATATATTTTATATTGTAATATATAGTATATATACTTTAGTATATATTAAAATTGTAAAAGCTAAATATCTTTGCATTGTAGTAGTTTTTGGTTTGGACTTTGTGTTGTCATATGCGACCGTGTACCATTGGAAAATTGCTTGGCGTGCCACGTCTGTCACACGTGCTGTAGGTTACCAATGCCTGGATGAGATTATATATGAAAACACATTTAAAAGTTTAATAATATAATAAAATGTGCTTTTAAACAGGGGTCAGCAACCTTTTGCTAACCATTTGGCAACTTAGGGTTTTCATTGTGCCAACAGCATATGTAATTTTTATACAAGTCAAGGTCAATATACCTGTTCTATATTATATTTTATATTGTTATATATAGAATATATACTTTATTATATCTACTATATATTACTTATTTAATCTATATCCCATTTTTTCATTAAACATTTGGGAAGTTATTTTAAATGAAGAGCATTCTTCGGTTTTTATTTAATTTTATTTTTAAGGACTGGTTTTCTAAAGTGAAACATTATTCTTCTCTAGGTCCTTAGGAGTGTCTCTGAACCTCCGAAACTGTTCAAGTTAGCACTTTGATCTCTGAGCCTATTAGAGCAAGGGTCGACAATCCTATGTGCTGATTTAGGGTTTTAAAGTCATTCAGTGTGCCAACAACATAAGTATTTTTTCTACAAGTCAAGGTCAATATACCTGTTCTACAATATATTTTGTATAGTAATATATACGACAATATGTAAAACACACTAATAAAAATAAACCGTTTTTTTTTTTTTTTTTTTTTTTTTAACAATTTCACTTTTTACAAAGTTTCAAATTTCTTGAATTTTTATTTTACGTCTTTTTGGCAAACACCATCACAAATGTAACGGGATTTTATTTAATATTGAAATCAAACGAATTGTGTGCCTTATTAAATGTTTCCATGTTTGCTGTCCTACAAGTTAGTCATATATTGTCTAACCGCAAAATAAAAGCTGGTGTGAGAAAGTAACTGTTGTAGCATATCTACAGACAATAAAGGGTATGTCCCCATTCACATAAATACAATAGTAAATACTGTATGTTGGTCTACAGTTGGAGATTCATTGTGGAATTCACTTGGCTCACTTCTAGCAGTTGACTACTACTACACACCGCTGGCAAATCTTATATGTGTTGTTCTTATCCTAAGTATTATCGTTCATTACCAACCTTTGTTTGATTATTCTATTCAGTAACCTTCCCTAGATTACAATAGTAACTATTAAAATTCACAGAATAATCAAATGGAACATTTCATAAATGAAAATTAATTAGGGAATTGGCCACTAACATTCTGGGAGAAATGAAAATCAGACTCAGTGGTAAAATATTCTGTAAAATGCTTCTAAAATCTAAGTCAAATAGTGTTTCATTGTAATGCAATCACTCCAGATATTGTCATTTTTCATTTTTGGAATATAAATGTCAGAGTGAAAATTTTGGAATATAAATGTTGGTGAAGAAATTTACAGAATACAAGCCTACTTAAAAGGCTGAAAAGTTCAGAGGCTGCGGATGGAAGAGTGATGTTAGCCAGCTATGAAATCTTCCATGCATTAATATCGACTTTCCTTAATAATGGCATGGTTTCTTTTTCTTAATAAAGTTCATTCATTTCTTGAAGCACCAGGCCCATTTTAACAATGAGAACATTTTTTTTTGAAAAAAAACATTTCCTTAGGTTTTTCTTTTTTCATAAAATTGTTCATATGCATAGCAAAAACAACAGGGCAATAGAAACAGGCAAAAAAAAAAAAAAAAAAAAATTCTCATTTGGAGAACAGACCAACCATGTTCAATTTTTTTTTCTGCATTATTTTTGATGTATCCAGCCTTGATTTGCTGCAGAACAACATTTTTATTTTCAATCACTGTATATGTTGCCATTGCCATGCAAAATCTAAGGTATATCATTGTACTGCAAGTTCAGTTCATTTTTAACTGCCACATATGATTAATAAATAGAATGATGCATTTATCATTACATTTGGTTCCCCAAAATAGAAATTAGTCCTGACAAATTTTATTTAACCCTTTAATTATTAGGTTGGTGCAAAAATAATGACGTAATGATGTTTTTTGATGTTAAAAAATACGTCCAAAAACAACATTATTACGTCATTATTTTTGCACCAACCTAATATTTTGCATAAATTTGTCATTTAGCCATCACAATTCTGCAGATGTATATGTCAACCAGTGATCATCTTTCAATATTCTCTGAGTGGACATGTTTGCTGAGTGACAGAGCTTTGTTTCAAAGGGAAAGTATGTTTCTAAAAGTAACTTATTAGTATGGAAATTATGCCATTAAGCACTTGTGATATGAACTGGAAATGACCTGATGTTGACCATTTTCCTCTAACTGAAATAATTGTTTTATCAGTGAATTTTAATGTTTTAAAAACATCCATGTTTTGAGCACTCCGAGTCACTGGCTTGTTTATTAAAAAATAAATAGGTAAAATTCAACTTCCTCTCAGCCTGTTCCGACAGCTTAGGGGGAAAAAATCTCCGACTGATGTCAAATCAGTTGGGTTTCATTCCTGACCTGACGCAATTGGATGTCTAGTCATACTGATGAACTGTGATACAGCAAAACAGTGTTTGTGGATGACTATATATATATATATATATATATATATATATATATATATATATATATGGTGGTGATATCAGATTGGATTGAGGAATCGGAGAGCCGAGTTAGAATTCCAGTTGAATCCATTACATTCACTTATGTGATAATACCCTTGGGAAAGGTATGAATCCTCCTCTTCTCCCCCCAGCTATGGGTAAAATAGCAGGTCGTAGTGCACCAGGTCTGTATTCGATCCTTCAAAAAGTATGGATGGTTCTGCACAAAACCTTCACTACTATAATCGAATCTCATGTGCCGTTATCAGGCTGTCGGTTTCCTGGGAACTGATCTGTTTGACCCTCATACGTCGGATTCGATGGAAGAGTCAAGGAGCGATATGGTCGTGGGAGAAACAAAAATTTGTATATACAAATTTTTAATTTATTGTATTTCCAACTAATGAATAAACATACTTTTCATGCAATTAACTGAACACAGATGCATAATAACTAAATATGCATAGAAAACAAAAAAAAATTTTATTTAATAGGAATGAATCCCATTTATTCATTTTCATAGGTGAAAAATTATTCGTACAATACAAATTTCAAAACTTAAATTGCTTCAATACTCTAGATTATTCAAGTGGAATATTCTAGAATGTTCCAATAATGTTATCAGTAATTATTTTTAGCCTAAAAAATACAAACAGAACATTCTGCAATTGATATATTCCTGCAATAAGGTTATCATCATGGCAAGAGGTAAAAAATTGACAAATTCACAAAAAAGAATTGATTGTTAATAAGCTCTGGAAAGAAGGTAAAAGTTACCGGAAAATCTCAGACAACCTAAATATTCCATTTACTACCATTAGTTCATTCGTTGCAAAGGTATAAGAACTCAAAACTGTTGAAAACCAAAGAAGAATAGGTGCTCCACAAAAAAGACTTCTTCACAATATTCAAGGAAATTAATGTGCAAACAAAACCCAATGGTTACTTGTCAAGAATTGTAGGATGATTTGATTTCTTCAGGAATCTGTCAGTTAACAGACACTAAGCAATGAAATTCATAGGAACAATCTAATATCATGCTCCCCTCAGAAAATCCACTGCTACTGAAAGGACAGAGATGACAGGTTGAAATTTGGTCGTGATGATAAGGATAAGGAAAAATTCTATTGGGAAAGAATATTATGGATAGACAAAACCAAAATTGAGTTGTTTGGATGTAATTCTAGAAATCATGTATGGAAAAGATGGCAATGCCTTCAAAGAAAAGAATACGGTTCCAACAGTGAAATTTGGGGGTGACAGCATCATGGTTTGGGGATGTTTTTCTGCAAAAGGTACTGGCAACATATCAGTAATAGATGGTAGAATGAATGCTGCAGAATATCAAAATAGTTTGGAAGAAAATTTAATGATTTTGGTTGAAAATCTTGAGCTTTCTCCCGATTGGATCTTCCAGCAAGATAATGATCCTAAGCATACTGCAAAATTTACAAAGAAATGGCCTGCTAAAAATAATGTAAATATCCTGAAATGGAAAAGTCAGTCCACACATTTAAACACAACTGAGAATCTGTGGTGTT